CCCCAAAACCCCAAAACCCCAAAACCCCGATAAAGAAAATCATATTTAAATTCATTGAGAGCTTAATTAACTTTCTATTGTGTCACTGGCTATTATTTTTCAGGTTTTGAACTGGACGTTTGACAGGTCATTTTGGAATTCGGAGAGAGTCAAGAACAGGTCACTGTAGTTTACAGGGTCTGATTTTGAAGTTTTAAGTGTTGTTGGGTGCCTATGAGGTCAGGAACCAAGATCCTTACAGCTTTATGCGACTTAATTGAGCATTAAGTCTTTCAAAAGATATAGTAGAACCTTCTATATTAAGCTTGAGCCCAGCTCCAGTAAGGATTCTGGATATTTATGAGCTTTTATTTGAACATTTGCTTTTATTGTGCTTGGTGTAATAGAGTTTCTATGAATTCGAATTAGACATTTTTGAATTTTTATGGCTTTGAGATGCTTAAAGGCTCTAACAATTTGCCCAATCTGAAAGACTGATATATCATAATTCCAAAGTTGTAGCTCCTCTTTGACACAGCTGCTAATTTGCAGAAGGTCATTCATCCGCTCTTTAAAAAGGTTCGTAGCCTTCTTTGTGCAAATTCATGGTAAGCTGATCGACTCTCATTGGAAAATTGAAATTAAAAAAATTCACCGGGATTCTAGAAGAAACTATCGAAATCTTTTTAAGGTCTGGAAGCCTCATTGAGCTTATTATATCAAACACTTCTTTGTGATCTTCTTTAGAGAAGTCTAAACGAATATTTTCTGAAGCTAGACACTTATATTCTTTTAGTAATTCTTTCTCTACCACTGGAGTTTGAGAACTTCTACTGTATCCCAAACATTCAGGAGTAGCAATATCCATCAAAACAAGAAGGTGATGAGGAAAGGTGCATCTAAAACGTTCAACAAAGTCTTGGTAAACTCCTGCTATGCCAGTATTTATCATTTCCCATTGATACTCCTCTCACTTGTCTTCACCAAATAGATATGTGAGGTTAAAAAGGGGTTCTGGTTTGAATTTAGCATAAAGATTCAATATCCCATCTCATTTTTCTACAGTTAAAACTCTACTATGTCGACCTTTTAATAGTTTTTCAGTGATCTGCGATTTAAAATTTTGGACTTTGTAGAGTCAAAGTGGATGATTCTGAGCTATTTGAGGTTCAGGAAAAGAATCTAAACAGAACGCATCCTTAGTACAGGACTTGATGTCACAAGAATCAGCTATTCTTTGTAACAGTTGGGTTGCCTTGGACTCCAGATTCAAAGTTTTCCAATAAATTCATCTTAAGAATTCGTCAGTGTTTTCACTTTCTCGAAGGCTTAGGATATTGTCTGATACCATTTCAATTGCGTCATTATTTTAAAAGAGACTTTTCTATTGATCTAATGTGGGTTTCTTCAGGTATCATAATACTTTCTTGTGCAGAATTATCTAACGAATTTGAGGTATTTCCTTCCCCATCAAAAGCTTCCTTATGTATTTTATCAATGTTAATACATATTTTAGAAAGGTTTACATCTGATTCTCTGTATATATCACTGGAAGCTTTTTGAGGTACCTGCAGCTGGGTCTCTCAATAGGAATAACTGTTTAGGAGATTTTTGCATTTTTTAAATTTATTTACTAATTTGTAGCTTCTCTTCCTCAATACGTCCAAAATGGATTGAGATTTCTTAAGTTTTCTTTTCAATTTACAATTCTCTTTACAAACTCTTTTTATAACTTCTAATGCTTTTTGTTGGATCTCTTTTATATTTTGAGGATATAAATTATCAGTTCCACCTAGAACAGACCAAAAATATCTCTCATGTAAAAACTTTGTATAAATCGGGCTCTCTTTTAAGTAATTAAACATCTTCACAATCTCCTCCATTGTCGCTAAATACCTTGGGCTATCATATCTCTTCCTAAACTCTTCATAACTCTCAAATTGGCTTCTTAATCCCCGACTAAAATCCTCACAAAAAATCTTAATATTCACTTCTTCACTACATTCCTTCATCCCTTTACCATATTCCATCAGTTCAGCATTAATCTTCGCTAGTACCCCCAACAACTTCGACATTAACTTCACATAAAACTCCTGACCAATCCCATTCCTCCTATATCCACATAAATCCCTTAAAAATCTTAAAAATTCCCCAGTAACTTACTTTGCCCCGTCAAGGCTGATTTCTGGGAAAAATTTCTGCATTATGATTTTGATTTCGCTCATTATAAAAATATTTTTATAAGATTATTTTTTTAAGTAAATTTGGGGTTTTGGGGTTTTGGGGTTTTGGGG